AAGGAATTCTTGATTCTTTTGATTTAAACAATGAGAATTCCACTTTATTATGGCAATAGCGTTTATGTCACATTTCTTAAAAGAGAATTGAAAAACTTGTGTCAGAAGGAATTCTTGATTCTTTTGATTTTCACACTTAAGTTTTGTGTACATTACATTAAGGGGAAACAAGCAAACATAAAGAGATTAGGTGTCAATAGGACTTCGAACGTCTTGGAACTTATTCATATGGATATCTATGGGACTTTCCCTTCTACTTCTTGGAATGGTCAACAGTCATTTATTACATGTATAGACAATTATTCCTGTTATGGTTTTCTGTATCTCATTCACGAGAAATTCCAATCACTGGATGTGTTCAAAGCTTATAAGACTGAAGTTGAAAATCAACTCGGCAAAAGAATAAAACACGTCAGATCTGATCGTGGTGGTAAATACTATGGCAGATATGACGGATAAGGAGAATGGCGTCCGAACCTTTTGCTAAATTCCTAGAGGAATGTGGAATCGTCCCACAGTACACCATACCAATTCTCTTAGCATAAATGGTGTTGCTGAAGGATGAACTAGAACACTTAAGGACATTATAAGGAGTATGATTAGTCATTCCACCTTACCAGAATCTCTTTGGGGAAAATTATTAAAAACTGCAGTTTCTATTCTTAATAGAGTTCCAAGCACGGCAACTGTTAAAACCCCTTATGAGCTTTGGACTGGCAAAAAACCTAGTTTAAAGCACTTATATATTTGGGGTTGTCCAGTTGAGTCATGGCCTTATAAGCCATCAGAAAAGAAACTGGATTCTAGAACTATTAGTTGCTATTTTATTGGAACGAGACAAGGGACAAGGCCTTATAAGCCATCAGGATAAGGAATAAACTCTTGCTCTAGATCTTATTCAAGAAGAAATTTCAGATTGAGACAATATTCTAGAACCCCTTATAAACAATCAAGAGATTATTTTGGAAGAACAAACTTAACAACCTCAAGAACAAATGATATTAAGGAGATTCACTAGAGAAAGGAAAAATGAAATTCCGGATGACTTTATAGTATCTTTCCAAGAATATGAGATAACATTGGATTGATGGAGCAAGATCCTATCAACTTTTATCAAACAATGAAAAGTAATAATTTTCAAAAGTGGTTTGATACCATGGATGAGTAAATAAAGTCCATGAAAGACAATGATGTTTGGGAACTTATATTATTGCCTTAAGGTACAAAACTCATTGGTTACAAATGGATATATAAAATCAAGAGGGATTCGAAGGGTAATGTGAAAATATATAAGGCTCGCCTTGTTGTAAATGGCTTTACTCAAAGGGAAGACATCAATTACAAAGAGACTTTCTCTCCAATTTTAACGAAAGACTCTTTCAGGATTATAATGGCACTTGTGGCACATTTCGACCGGTGTTTCTCAATGGTGACATTGATGAGACAATATGTATGGTACAATCGAAAAATTTTGTGTCAGGCGACTCAAAGAAAATGGTTTGCAAGTTAAAGAAATCAATCTATAGCAGGCTTCCCATCAATGGTATCACAAATTTCATCAAATAATCATCTCGTTTGGATTTTAGATGAATGTGGTTGACGATTGTGTATACTACATGTTCAGTGGGAGTAAGTACATATTCCTAGTTTGTATGTTAATGACATACTGCTTGCCTACAATGATATATGTTTATTGTACGAAATCAATAAATTTCTATTAAAGAATTTTGAGATGAAAGATCTTGGTGACGCCTATTTTGTATTAGGGATTTAGATACATCGGGACCGTTCTCGGTGTATTCTTGAATAATCACAAAAGAGCTATATCAATATGGTACTTAAGAGATTTGTGATGCAGGATTGTAAACCAGGTGATACACCTGTTGTAAATGGAGACAAGTTTAATTTCAATTAGTGCCTTAAGAATGACTTTGAAGTAAAGGAGATGCAGAAAATTCCATATGCTTCAGCAATTGGGAGTTTAATGTATGCTCAGGTATATACGCATCCGGATATAGCATTCATTATTGGAATGTTAGGTAGATATTTAAGTAACCCTGGGATTGATCATTGGAAGGCAGCCAAGCGAGTTATGTAGTATTTACAACAAAAGATTACATGCTCACATACACAAAATCAGACCAATTGGAGATCATTGGTTATGCTGATTCTGATTTTACTGTATGTCAAGACAGTAGGAGATCCACATTGGGCTATGTCTTTCTGCTGGCTGGATGAGCTATATCCTGGAAGAGTGTTAAGCAGACACTCATAGCTTCTTCAACCATGGCAGTGGAGTTTATAACGTGTTATGAAGAATCCAATAAAGGAATATGGATGCGGAATTTTGTCAATGGACTGCGGATTATACATGGAATTAAAAGACCACTTAAGTTATTTTGTGACAATAAGTCAGCAACCTTGCCTTGTATTCAAATAATAATAGGAGTTCAACAAAGTCTAAATATATAGACATCAAATTCCTAGTTGTTAAGAAAAAGTTCAGAGTGGTCAGGTTACTACAGAACATGTTGGGACAAACTCCATGATAGCAGATCCATTCACTAAAGGTCTACCATTCAAGATCTTTCATGAGCACATCGCTCACATGAGTGTTGTAAATTTTGATGATATGCTAGTTTAGTGGGAATTTGTAATTTTGGAAGTTGTCATTTTGATATATGATTTTTGGTTCTACACATTCAAGTTATTTCAGTTCATTTCAGTAATAAAGTATTCAGCTCAGTTTTTTTTTCACTCTAATTAAAGTTGTTTTCAGTTTAATCTCATAAGCTATTAAAGAATAAAGTAGGACCAGTTGAAAATAGGCATTTTTGGATCACATTGCATGTAATTTCCATGCTACACATCAACTCTAAATTTATATCATTTGATTGTGTTGATATACGTGACCATTAACACATCCACACTTGATCTATATCATTTATTTGTGTTGATGTACGTGACCATTGAGGGTTTAGTTATGATATTTGTAACCAAGACCACTTTTTCCTATATTGATATAATAAATGGACGAAATTGTTTGGAGATACTTTTTGTTATGATAGCAAATTTTTTGAGCTCATAAGGTTATACACATTTATAAGGTAACAAATATGACCCAAGTGAGAGATTGTTAGGGAATTATTTAATTTGTCATGTGGGCCAACATATTAATTAATTGTGTATAAATGTTATCTTAAAATTAAGTCCAAATTTAAAGTGATATAATAAAAAATTAAGTAATTGGGCTTTGGGTATCTAAATAAAGTGTGGACCGGATTATATGTGTAGAGTGATAGCCCAAGAATAAATAACCAAGATGGGGGGTGAATTGATTTTTACAATTTTTTCGAAGAATTAATCTAAATTCAAGTAAGTAAAGATTAAATAGATTAATTCAGATAAAAAGTACAAATATAAAAGCGATAAGTAAAAGGGAAAGAAGATGCAAACAATATAATTGTGGATGTTCAATCCTAAGCAATGATCTACATCTTTCGTTACTAAGCTTTTCGACATGTGCAAGACCTTTTCACTATGTTAATTGACTTATTGTGCAATCCAACCCTTTACAACACTTCATTGACTTACAAACAAGGAGCATTGATCCTTATGCAATGTTAAGCCTTACAAGACCTCAACACGACCCACTATTGAGCTTTCACGGGACCTCAATATGACCCACACAGTGTCTTACAACAAGGAGCATCGATCTTTATAAATTGTTGATCTTTAAGGGACTTCAACACGACTCACACTTTATCAAAGTGAGTTTATAATTAAATACCTCTCTTGATAAATAATGCAAACAAATTAAGTTTTAAGAGAGACTAACACTTCAATGAATAGTAACAAATGATAGCTCAAGTGTTAGATGAAAAACTTTTAAGAATATGATAATAAAAATTAGATTTAATCAATTAAAGTATTTCAATGAGAAGATGAAAAAGAAATAAATGTAATGTAGGTTCAAAAATATTCTCAAAATATATCTCTCTTTTAATGAATAATTGTAATAAATTAAGTACTATGAGAGAAATGAGAAATTTTGATGAATACGATGATTTTGCAAGTTTGATTCAATCAATCAAAATTTTCAATATGAAGAAATAGAAAAGTTTATGCAATGTAAGTGCAAAGATCTTAAAAAATATCTCTCTCTTAAGATTGATACATATAAGTTAAGCACAAAGAGAAATGAAAAACTTTGATAGAGAAATGATTCAAGAAATTTGATTCAACAATCAAAGTTTTTGTTATAAAGAAATAAATGAAATGAATGTAAAAATATAAGTTCAAAGAAAATATTTTACAGATATATTTCACAAGAAAGCTCTCTTTTAGTTGTTTAATGAATGCAAAGTGAATTGGTATTTATAGCAATCAAAACGCCAAAATTTCTGACCAACCAGATGACCCAACCAAACGTCCACCACTGAACCGGACGTCTAAACTAGCCGTTGTGTGTCAGAAATCGGAATGGTTAAAAATTTGACCATTTGACGAATCGAACGTCTGCCTGGTCAACCGAACGTCCGTTTATTTTGACTTTGATTTGATTTTTTTTTTATTTTTGGGAAAAATGTGGGCTTTCGAAAAACGTTTTCAATTTATTTTTCAAAGTAAGTAACATTGTAAAAATTTAAACATGGCTAATTAGCACAAAACGTCTCTACCTTTGGGGTTGATTTCGAAAACCGTCACCACCTTTCATTTCTTGACATTTATGTTCTTACCTTTCACTTTTCATGCGCTGGACGTCCTTTTCATTATTTTTTGATGATTTTACTCTCCATTAAAGTAAAACAAAAAGAAATGAAATGAAAAACAATTGAACAAATTGCAATCATTGACCCAAACTTTTTAAAAAGTGCAAATAACCCACCAAACTTCACCTTCTTCCCAAAACTCGCCTCCACCCTATCGCCGCATGCCGACCATTTTCAGGCCACCGTGGTCGTCGAATTTTTGCACCAACATCATCTTCTCATCAACACCTAACATTCATACACAAATTTTAGCCCCAAAAAAACAACAAAATCGAACCAGAAAGTGCAGGGTGTTGAACGGCCTTCAGAGGTGGCGGCGGATGAGAGAATTTGCTGGATACTGTAGATGTTGAACGGAATTATACCGGCGGCAACCTCTCCAAGAAGGTGCAGGGGGTAATACCCATTGGTGGACTTGCGTTTCTTCCTCTTCCCCAACTCACCCACTCGACACAGTTTCAAACTCAGCATTACCGATTTCAAGTTCTTCTCTATTATCATCCTTCCGTAGAATTCCAAATTCAATGACAAAACAAAACAAATTTTTACTCCCTTCGAAACCCTAATTCCTATTACAAACTTTCACCCCAGCTTTCAATCCATCGTTGTTGAACCCAAAATTGAAGCTATCACTACAACAAAAGTAGGTTTTTACGACATTTGTTTACGGCGTGCATTTTGAGAATGCCGTAAAAAGTCTATTTTTACGACGTGTCTAAAATGTACGCCGTAATAAATCGATTATTTAAAGTATTTACGGCGTGCATTTGTGGCACGCCGTAAAAGGTGATTTTTACGGCGTAATTTCTATGCATGCCGTAAATTGTTTTTTTATTTTTTTTCTTTTTTTAACAAATAATACTTTTACGGTGTGCATATTACACGCCGTAAATAGCTTTTAATATTGCACGCCGTAAATATCTTTGCCCTTGTGTTCTCCTTTTCTTCTCTTTCTTTTCCTTTGGTTTTATTTTCCTCCCCAAACTCACACGGTTTCTCTGCTCCGACGCTCGTCGGATTCCGACCTGCCACCACTCGTCGCCATCAAGGTTCGTTCCTCATCGCCATGATTTCCTCCCCCCACTACTCCCTTGTCCACCGAAACACCCACCGCCAACGCCCAGCGAAAGATTGGCATCGCTGTCGACCTCAGTGACGAGT